GTGATGGGAAACATCTGGAGTGATAGAATTGTGAGTTTGAGGAGAAAAGACTGGCAGAAGAGGCTTTTTTGTTGCACACACACTTATACACCTATTAAAGAGCTTTTTGTGATGTTCTTCTCCCCAGTAGATGTCAGTAAAACATTCCCATCCTCTGTTTATTTTCCCCAACAATTTTGGCTCTAAAGCAGGTTTCAAAAGTAAATACTAAATAATGTCAAATCACACTAAGCCTTTAATACCAGGTGCCCTATTCTCAAATGCAATGTTGTAATAAATCAGGCAGGAATCCTCCTTTTCAAACAGTGTTTAAGCGGGGTAAATCCTCAATAAGTGCCAGTCCGTTATGATAAAACGAGTCATTGGGCTTTAGCAGCTGTTTGCAGAGAGAGGAGAGACAGCAGCTCCTGGTTCATGTTGTAAACAATGTGACGAAGAGCAGGACTTGTTGGCCATGTGTTCAGATGAGCAACAGGCTCCCTTTGGGGACTAAGATAAACACAAAAAACTCTTCTTTTGTCTATATTAGATTGTTTCCATTTTAAATAAGTGTCAGGTAATGTATATAATCAAGTGTAACTTTGTAGTCATTTATCTTATCTTTTGCTTTAAGATATTCAGGAACAGATTGGTCTTCTGCAGTGGAAATTGGTTTTACAAGACATTTAAAGACATACAGTACGTTTGGTGTAGTTGCAGCAGGCTTTGGATACCATAAGAAGATCGTGTTACAGAGACTATAGTGTCCTCTCAAAGTACCCGATGTATTCAGTCTTTCCGAATTAAAACGTATACAGTAAGTGTGCACGTTTTTCAACATTCTCTCCAAATGTCCGCTCTCCTCGGTGCTGAAAGTAAAAAAAAGTGTGCTTAAAGCTGCGTCTAATCTGCATTGTTGATACATCACAGCAGTGGCGGTTCTAGAACATTTTACATGGGGGGGCAAAGGGGAGGCAAGAGGTCATGCCAGGGTGGCATAGGAGGGCGGACAGTACGTGGTATTTTATACTGTATATAACCTATTTATTGTTAATTCATGCCTTAACACAAGTGTTCTTAATGCACAAGAGAAACAAGGTGTTCAGACAAACAATCGGGTGCCCTTTGAGTCCCCCAAGCTTACCTCAACCATTTGAAATGAAAGGAAACTACAAAATGTATTTTAAAGCAATGAATTAATGGAACAGGTTGTTTTGCATTACAATGTAAAATTAAATATATATTTTGTTTTAGACAGACACAAAATTGGTTGTCTTAGACAGACATATTTGCATGTCCTCACTAAGCATTATTACATATTAATTTAATATCAAAACAAATCAAAATGGCCAATTATCCCAAAATGTTGCTGCTAATATAATCACATGCTTGTCAACTTTAACTGATCAAAAATCAATTCTGAAAAAATACTTGAATTATCTATGAAATTGCAATATTGTCCCTCAGTTTGTTTCAACCCCGTCACGCCATACCATTTACCCTCCTATTAAAATAATGGATCAGTCCGTGATCTGCATGGAGGGAATTACATCACAAAAGTGTCAGTTTCTTCTCTTACCTATATTTCAGTTTTTGTATTTTCAGATTAAGATTGACAAGCTCAACATTTCAACTATGTTGTATGAATTAATAATAGTAAATAATTGTTTATTACAAAAATAAACAATAGTTTTGCAAAATATTACAATTTTGTAATGTCCTTGACTTCCATGTGGTGCCATATCTTAGCTAAACAAGGTCTCATGCCTACTTTTTGTCAAAAACGTCAACCCTGTTACATTTTTTCAAGGAAATTCCTAGTAATTATTTATATTTTGTGCCTGAGGTGGGAACATGTAAGTAGTCCACTACCAGATGTTATGACCAAACATTTTGGTTTCATTTTTCAAAGATATAAAGACCCAAAAGGCACCCGATTCAGAGAATACTCAGAATTCCGCATACTGTAAGTACTTAATTATAATTAAGTACACAAATGACATCACCCATCTCTTCAGAGAGCTACAGGTGACCTGTGCAGCAACACATTTAAATACATATTTGTCAATACTAAGAGCTGCTAGATTGTGCTGCTGTAATGGAATATGTAAGGAGAATAAGAACACACCATGTGGTCCAGCTGGAGTTTCATCTGCCTCCTGATCCCTGCCTCTGGCCCTCTTTCTGATACTTCATCTTTATTCCTCACATATATTTCTTCTTCTTCACTAATGTCTTCATCTCCTCCTCTTCCTCCTGCTCTGACCCTCCTGGTCTCTTCATCTCTCTTTTCCTTTTCCTCTTTCTGTTCGTCCTGATCACTTCTCATATGTCTTTTTGTTGTTGTTGAATCACTCCTATACTCTGGCCTGCAAGAGTCTACTTGTGAAAAGCACTGGTACAAATGCTTGTATAACTTTACACATTAGGGCCATGTAGCCTAGCTAATATGTAGCATATCATAAATATAACATCAGAAAGTATTGATCAAGCGCACACAGGCAGCTGTGTTTGGATCCAGTTTTTCCTGGTTTCATTGATCTGGCCTCATGGCTGTGATGTGTAGTTTACGTGGATTTAATAGTAGGCTACCGCGTAGTTTAGCAAAGTGATCGATCTCCCAGCTAACGCTGTCTGCGTAGTATTTTGTAACGTAACGCCCCAAACAGCGCCCGTCTGTTAAACGCTATTTAGTTTCAAGCTCTCGTCCTTAGTAAAAACAAAACTAGTGGAAAGGGAAATGCTCCAAGGGGAAGCTGATCCATAGGTGCTGGGACAGCTCGCTCCCTCTCTGCAGCGGTGTGAGCCGCGGGCTGTGTGAACGCCGCTCCGCAGTTTAATGCAGGGCCGTAGCTGCGTTTTTAACGGGCCTAAAATGATATTTAAAATGATTCACTTTTAACTAATGTAATGCTTGTTTCGTTGCTTGAGAAGCTTGTGAAAATAGTGTAGGTTTGTTTTAGTACAGTTTTAGGGAAACAAAAGTTAGGGGGGGCAGCTGGGGGGGCAAGGCTCTACAGTGGGGGGTCAGCTGCCCCCCCTTGCCCCCCGTAGATCCGCCCCTGCATCACAGCTAATTAGCCTTTACATACATATGCAAAACATGTCAGTGCCCTGAACCTAGTCCTAGGCTAAATGATATGATTCCCTTGAAAATTGGTAGCATACGTCTGATCCTTCCGGCATGAGGTCTAATTGGTATATTGGTGAATAATGCAATTTAAGGCTTTGGGCCATTTTCTGTTTAATATCACGTGTTGCTGGACCAACGTACTCAAGCCCTGTTTCCGTGAATTTTAAAAGGGCAAATAACGTACTGTCATTATCGGCAAAGAAATACCAGCAATATCTCTCTCGGCTCTGCTGCTATATCTAGAGCGAATATAGAGAGCTCGAGCGATCTCATCTCTGCGTATAGCATATCTCGCTACTCATACGAGCGCTCTAATCCTTCTCTCTCTCTCCTCTCTCTCTCTCTCTCTCTCTCTCTCTCTCTCTCTCTCTCTCTCTACACACACACACACACATGTACACACAGGCGCGCGCACTTCTCCTCACTTTCGCACCCCACCTTCCCACTTTCTCCCTTGCAGCCGAGGCGCTTTTCGTCTCCAAAGCCTGTCTCCAGAAGCATGTCCTCACACATGCAGCCTCGGTGCGATGAAGCGAACCAAAAGACGCCACCAGCTTGACAGCATGAAAGCAGGTAAGCTGATACCTGAATAATCTGTTCCCCTTATGAACTGGAGCTTGTTTTCTCAGATAGAACCAAAATGAATCGATGGTTTATTTGACTCTTTCAGAGCAGTAGATAAAGTGCGTGAGTGAGCAGAGATCAGGTTTCATTTAGTTGTCTTGCCCAAGGACACTCAGATAGAAGGGACTAGTTGTTACCATGTATAGAACCTGAGACTTCTCAAATACAGGATCAGCATTGTAGACACCTGTGATCCTCCAGCGCGTAAAAAGGCGATATTTGAATGAAAACTCTGTTTCGTTACGATTTCAAAGTTGCTTCTTTCAGCCAACTCTGTAACTTTATTTACAGGAAGATATATAGGTAAAAGTCGATGTCATGTAATCGGCTGAAATATCGCGTACAAAACATGCCTGACAATATTTACATCTGTGGAAGATTTGCATGGTGAGTGCAAGGAAAACGAGCTGTTTTACGCTGGATCCACAGCTGCCTGTGGCATATGCGCATTTTGGACGGAGACAGGAGAGCAGAACTTTTGGTTTATTTCACATAGTCCACCAAGCAGAAATAGTCTCCATATTAAACCATGCTGTAGTATCGTTTAATGCCATCATTAGTTTTTTCTAATCAATTACATCCAACCCCCCTGTACTAACAGGCGATTGCGCGTTGTATCATCATGTTAACCATATTTCCAACTGTTTTTCTTTAAGAATTGAATACTTTGTTTATATTTGTAAACTAAGAAACAGCCATTTAACAGTAATCTATGGTGTCATGGTAATTTAACGCACCTTGGATAAAAGCTAATCTCGTTCCATTCACAAAATAGCTGCTTTCTCCGACATTCTTTTGATGATAAATCTGTGCTAAAAAAGAAAAAACCCTGATGTCTTATCATTAAAATACAGCATAGATGTAGATATGTGTAAATATGTATTTTCCCAGGAGCAGATTCCTCTTGTCTCCTTAATCCAATCAATCATTCTTGGTTTCAACGCGTTTGATCTCCACAGCAAACGGACAAAAAAATAAATACATGTTTTAAGCTGCCATATGATTGCTGTGTTTTCAAGTCAATAAAGACACCAGTTCAACTGCTGTGCATGCATTTTGATCTTAGAAACCTATAGAATGAGAGGTGATTTCGCGTTCCGACGCGCCTTATTGCGTAAAAGCGCATCAGAACAGACTTGAGACTGCAGTCGGATTGTGTGACTGTGGGTTTACTGTGGAGATGTTTTACGCGCAGAGTGACTCTCCTCTATCATGCTTTGATCTTGTTGTGTACAAATCTATTGGAGGACTCGATCTTCACAGAGGTAAAGCTGGGATTTATCAAACTGCTTTCCGTAATTCGCCACAATTTCTTCAGCTGCATATCTTGTTGTTTTGAGGAATCAGGCTGACAATTACAGACAATGGTTGCGTCCTTGTGAATGAAAAGGGGGGCAGATGTCTTATTTCCCTATCAATTGGCTGGATAATTCGATGGAGGAGGGTTACTTGTGATGGATAGAGGTAGGTTTTGGAACATTTTACTTCAATCTGACATTTAAGAGGGAGAGTTGGGTAAGAACAGCTGGTAAAACTAAAAATTAAAAGTAATCTGACTTGTTACCTTAAAGAGAAAATCTGATTATTTATTAATTATTTCCCCATTTGCATTGAGAAAGTATGCTTAAAGTTTACAGTATGAGCGACCTTGTTTCATACATTTAAGGACTTTTTGTTATCTATTTTTCTGATTTGTATTTAATATGTACTATTTTGTCATGGCTTATTGATATTTACAGCAGGATCCCAAATTACAATTCTGCTGTTACAGTTCACCCATAGCACCAAACTGTGCAGGGATTTCATATACTTTTATAATTTTATTGTGAAGCGTGTGTGAATGATTTACGCAGCTTGGCCTTGATTAAGTAGCTCGCTATAATTGGTTTTGTTTGAAGAGATGACAGGGAAACAAAAAGGACTAATGTCGCCTTATTTTCGCGTGTAGGTCGATGCTGGTTTTGTTCTTGCACATTCATGCACATCTCCTAGGAACCGGATTCGGTGTCTTGCCAACAAAAAAGACGATTTACATTTTGCTTCTGTCTGGAATCCATTCAAAAGTTTCCATCAGCACTTCAGGGGAACAAGTGAATACTTAAAGGTCGATTATTTGTGTGCAGAATAATGTTTATCCCCCTTGCAAAAATCCTGATCCAACTTTGGGATCACAAGGTAAATCAAACTGATCACAGATGCAGGGCTTAAGAAACAAACATAATTTGGTGCTCCTTCAGATTTTTTTAGCTGGATACTTGATCATGACTGCCATCTGCTACACTTCTTCAACCAAAGGCTTCACAGAAGACCCATTTGTTTGTTTGTAAAGATGTTTGCCTATTGTGTTTTTTAAAGAAAACAGGAGCAGGGAATAATCATTTATTTAATAAAAAAAAAAACTCTAAATGCTAATTTGTCATGAATTCACATTATAGTCATATTGTCAAATGAGAAAATGTAATTAACATACAACCAGTAAATAAGCCCTATGTTTATTTTGTAAACATTGTTTTTTTCTGAACTCTCAAATCAATTTCTCTGAATTATTGTATTTGTCCACAGCCTTTGTTTCCTTCAAGTTATCTTCAGACTTTGGCGCACGTTAACAACCTTATACGTCCGTCAAAAACAAATATTAAGCCTTAGAATAAGGCTGCATACCAATCTGTGCTGCCATCTCTTTGCAAGTTTGCAGAAGTTTCTCTCCCTTTTCCTTATCATCCTCTTTGACATCCTGATGTTGATGTATGAGTGTTGGATGCACTGTGACAGTTATTTGATGGGTTTTCAATTGCTGCTGGCCAACTGATGTTTATCGAGGTCAGCCTCGTTTTTTTCTTTTTCCAAAGACCCTCCCTTAACTCTATTGATATTACATTAGTGATGGAGATATTATGGACTGTGTATCATTTCTACTGGTGCTTCTCTGTGGTAGCAAATGATGGCATGGATTGATTTGTGTATGGTGCTTTGACAGCGATTCCGCATGAATATTGCTTATTGGCATGTTGGTTAATGCAGATAAGTGTCAAATGACAGATGTACATTCAAATGTCATCGAATTTCAATGTTTGAGGCACCAACAACAGATTTTTGCAGCTGTGTTAAAAAGGGAAGCTTATCGCCCCCTGTGGTGAAAACAGGACATTGACAGGTATTGAGTGATTCATTGCTGATTTCTTTCATATTGAAATATTTGATTGCTAAATGTGTATCCACACACACACAAAACAAAATGTATGACTCTTTCTTGGCCACACTCACATGGAGGACGGAGAGTGGAGGAGAGATTGAAGGAGGAGGCTCATGCCAACGCTCCTGCACACATATTCCTAAATCTGTGGTTTTGGCAGCGGTGGAAAAAGTGTTTGAGGCAACGTTGCTTTTGTAAAAAGTTCAATTTAGCCAGTGGGGTGCCTCATTCCATGGACCTAAGCTTCTTGGTTGTAGAGCGGCTGCACAATGCACATTAGTGCATCTGTGTAGCTGGCACACACAATGCACATTAGTGCATCTGTGTAGCTGGCACACACAGAAAGAAATGTCTACTGTAATTATCACGCTTTCAACCGCAGTAGGCTCATCTATTTGCACTGAGCTCCTGCTCTAATCGCTTTCTTTTTTTATCATTACACGCTTATTTTTTTTATTTTTGCGCAATTAAAAAGGTTATTTTTGCACTGTGTGGATGGGCCGGGCAGTCCGTGCAGCATCGGCTGGGTGAGCAGAAAGAGAAGATTGGCTCTGCTAATATGTGGACATTTTGTGGAAGAGAGGATACAAGATTTTGTGAAGGGGTGTTACATCACAGTGACCATGCAGTTTACAAGTGTGTGTACGTATGGGTGGTTAAGGTTGTGCCAGGGGAAAGACTAACAGGTTGATTTGACTCATGCATTTATCTATATATGGTTTCATCCTCAGATTTCCATATGCTGTTCCCACATTGGACAAATGGCTAGTGTAGCCTTTAGCTGGGCTTCTTATCAGATGCTGAGTGATTGCAGAGCTTTACAATATGAAGTGCCGCTAAACCACTGCACGAAGTGGCATTGATTGGAAAAGATGGGAGGAGGGAGGTTCCTCCTTAAGGTCATTATCTAGCAGACCGAAATAGTTAGACGAAACAAACCAGTGTAATTGCATTTGTAACAAAAGACTTGGAATCAATAGACTCATCACTACATACAGCATCGTGTCAGCATATTTCATCGACAAAGAAATGGATTCAGTGGCACTTAAACCGCATGTAAAATGACACGTTGTAGTCATGAAAGTGATATGTTTCACTCTAGTGGTTGAGAGTAAATCATAGCTTAACACTGCTGTAATGTGTGCAGCCTGGGGATAACATAAAACCAAGTGCAGTGTCAGAAGAGCAATATTCCTTTTCTTTAAGGTCGTAGTACCTATGTGATGATATATGTGATGATATAGTCGGTTATAGTTCACATCTCATAGTTATTTTAAAGTTGCATTGATGCACTGACACATTTTGTGGCCACTTGGAGGCAATGGAAACAAGTTGTGGATATAGTAAACTTATAAACAAACAATCGCTTACTTACACATTCAGTAGATTTGTAGCATTAGTATTTCTTTACATTGTTAATGGCCACCTAAAACCAATATTCCCTTAAGCTCTGTTGTTGGTCTCATCCAACTGTGCTCTCGCACAGAAACAGGTCACCGTGGTGATGCTGAATTCCAATCAGAAAAATAAAAATTAACAATTGCTCATATTAAAGAGAAACAGCTAACCCCCGCTTTCAATACACTGTGGAAATGCCATCTTTTCCCCGTCACTGTTGAAGAAACATGTTTTTTTTAATCAAACTGGCTGTAAATGTTCCTTGGTAAGTGACAATGCTAGATATATTAATTTTCTGTCACCATTGCATGCCAGCATAATAGAATAATACATTTCAGTCATTGTAAACTCAAACAGCAGCAGCAGCAGCAGCAGCAGGTGTAGTACGACCCTCGAAATCTCAAGAGATCCCTTTGAATGTTCTCTGCTTCCAAAAGACTCCGGTGTTCCTCAGCTCAGCCGCTCATCCAGCAACAATGTCAGGCGGCCATTTCATGCTCTTAATTACTTTAAACCTCAGTAGGAGCTCATTTCTGCCGGCGACTTTAAGCTCTGGCTCTGCCTTCATCATTGGCTCCATAAAACATGCAGTGTGCTCGTCTGCTCTGGATGGGTTATTGTAATTGCCTGCAGGGCCTAATTCCTCCATGATGAGAGATTATAAAACAATAATAAAAAGGTAGATTAGCGCTTCCCATCTGACCTATAGAGTATGCATTCACACACAGTTGGGGTCTAAACAAAGCGAGATTAACATTTTGAGTTCGGTAGGTAAAAAGGAAACAACTAGATATGGAAATGATGTTCTTAATGTTTGTGCTGCAACTTTAGGAACAGGGGAAATGCTCAGGCTGGTGACATAGGTTCTTGTAAACGGTGCCAACATGACAGGGTGCCCTAATATCTCTCTGTGCTGCTGTGGATGCTCCTTGTGTGGGTGTTTTTTTGAAGTAGCCCTATGTGACTTTTTCTACTCGTGGGCCAGAAACACTAACAAGCAATTAGCCCACAGGAAGGGCGGTTGGTATTTCAGGGGACGAAACCCATAGTTTATAGATTCTAAAACTGCTCTTTTCTGTATTTGACAGGAGGTTGCTTGTTCTGGGAAGCAAAAGCCACTGATACAGATACAAAAGTAGCTCATAATAATTCGGACATACCAAGAGATCATTGGAAAATAAAGCAGACTATGCCCAAACACCAGACAAGGACGCACATACATGACCTACAACATCGCATTAAGAGTTGTGTCGATTTCATACAGATTACACTGCTGTATGTGTGATGCATAAGAAGTAGCAAAGTGTTAATCCATCTACTTTTAACTGCAAATCAATGAGCTGCTGGCACCTGCCTTCTTTTTGAAAAGGCAATACAAGTCAAACTGTACCCCTGAAGGTATTGCTGTCCTAATTACAGGCCTGCCTGCAGCTGATAAACAGGAATTATTACCAAATGGAGGCACAATGTAATTGACGTCAATAATGAATCACTGCCCTCTCTCTAATAATTGTTATTCGGCTGTTCAGTCAGGATACAGTCTGATGGTCTGTTGGTCAGTCCACCATGTTAATAAGTAAAACAATACAGGCTAGTTTGCTAGATCCTAAATTGCTTAAGTGGATTGATTACTGTGTTTTTCATTGAGCGCCACCATAAGGTTGTTTTTTATGACATGTCCTGCCATGACACAAATTACCACAACATTTTGTACAGACATTCATGTCATCTTCAGGATGAATTTGAATGATTTAAGTTGTCCGTTACCATTTAATCAAGCTCTATCATCTGGTCAAATGGTTGGATCGTGACTAAGGAGGCTTGCACAACAGGGTCTGTATGAGTACACATAACCCTAAAGTCTAGTTTATTT